TCTCAATGATTGACTGCAGCCGCTCGTAGAACTGATCTTTAATTTCGTCGTTGCTATCATTGGTGGGTGCATAACATTGGATAATATTCATTGTGATCCCCTCCTTCTTTGTTTTGAATGATGTTTTGATGATTCTGGATCCGTGAGATTCCCATCCTACAAGTGCATTTCGTGCTACTTTGGACAGCATAAGAGCGACTCCCTGAGTGTGTGGAGCATTGTCCTCTTCGTGACCGGAGTATAGCAGCATCTCTCCCGTAGCTAGCCTTTTCTGTCCAGTTTGGGTCCAGTGGGTTTCGCTGATTCCCAGTACTGCTAAGTTGTATCTCCTCATTTCCATTGCTATTTGACTGGTCTTCCCGGTTTCCCACATTGTTCGAACGTTCCATGTACCTATAAAAATTTTTGCTCTGGTTGTCAGAAGGGGCATCGGCCTCGTGGCTTCCGAAGGAACTCGGCTTTCACCATGAAGCGTCATAATTCTTCTAAATGAAGACCTTCTAACTCCCAGGGCAGAGTTAAAATGGTTTGGATTATTTTTTCTGGTAAGCGTTTTTTTAGCGAGTTAGTTTTCTACGGGGTGGGGACGCTAACCTCATGCCCAACCCTCCTCCTTTACCCGGGCTTGGGACCGGCAGCAACCCTATAAGAGCTACAGGCGGGGTTACTTCTGGGACTTATTCTAGCACTATTTAAGCGTGAGTACCGAAAATTCCGGAATATTTGTAAGAAAACCATAGCTAACTCCCGTACTATTTACGAACGACGGTTGGTATATGATAGCCGTACTTGTCCGAAACGACTGTTTTCGTATGTTAGACGGCGAATGAAACGTAGTGATGGTATTCCCCCGTTACTGTTGCACGAAAATTAAGATTTACTAGCTGAATCGGATCGAGCAAAAGCTGAGACTTTTTCAGACTATTTTAGCGAAGTCTTCTCTACGTTTATTGTAACAAATACTTGTCCCACTCACACCGAGATACCAACCATTGAATCTGTACAGTTGACTGAGGAAACTGTCCTTCCGTTGATAACTAACTAACCTCAAACCTGGTAAGACACCGGGCCCTGACGGGTTACATCCACGGTTGCTGTCATCTCTTGCGAACAGTATTTCAAAACCGCTTGCGACACTCTTCAAAATGTCCCTTTCACTCGCCCAACTCCCTAGAGATTGGAAGGACGCTATAGTCAGTCCTATATTTAGGATGGTCAGAGACAAATAGTATCTAACTACCTGCCTGTCAGTCCAACTAGCATTGTCGTTGAGTTGAAAAGATAGTTCGGGTTAGGCTACTAAGCTACACAGATTCACACAATCTGCTGGCTCCCGAGGAAAATGGATTTTGTAACAGGCATTCTTGCTTGACTAACTTATTGCGAGAGAGGATTTTACAACAGCCCTAGATAACGGTCTGTCTGTCGATATGATATTCATAGATGTTAGCAAAACATTTGACAAGGTTTCGCACTTAGGACTTATGCAAAAGCTCACGAGCTTCCGAATAATAGGTACTGTACAGGAGTGATTAGGAAACTTGTGTGACCGCAGACAGAGAGTAAGGGTCAATGGGACGCTATCTAATTGGAAGCCGGTCAAAAGTGGTCAAAAGTGGCCCTCTACTCTTTCTTCTCTACATTAACGAGTTGCCGCTGTTACTTAGGTCGTCGACATTATTGTTTGCGGATGATGTAAAAATCTGGAGAACAATAAAAAGTGCGGCTGATCATGTGGATCTTCAAGCTGACTTAGACGATTTAGTTAGATGGGCTCGAGAGTGGGGCTTAGAAATCAATGCTAGGAAGAATGTACTAATGCACATCGGTCACGGTAATAGTTACCGTTACACTATTGAGGGTAAACCTCTTCCTTGCGTTCAAGAACATAAAGACTTAGGAGTAGTATTAAGTCATGATTTAAAAACAACTACGCATTGCAAAGCCGCCTCTGTCAAAGGTTTTCGTGCGTTATGGTCACTTCGCCGAGCGTTCAAATCTTTTGACGAGGAAACGTTTCGAATTTTATATCCCACCTATGTAAGACCACATTCAGAGTACTGTATCCAAGCAGCTAGCCCGTGTCTGGTAAAGGATACTAACTCCCTTGAGCGTGTCCAGCGTGTGGGAACGAAAGTAGTGAAGGGTCTGTAGAACTATAGTCTACTATGATATTAGTACTGCTCTAATAATAGACCTAATCCTAAATTTGTAGATTTGTCATGATATAACTGCCTAATCTATAAGATCTTACGTGGAAGTCACACCATCGACTACACCAACTCACTGTATCGTATCAATTACCAATACATGATGAAGAACAAAGTTAGGCTAGAGAAAGAACAATATATTTAATATGAATAGAAGATATAAGGTAACATTCAGCAGAGACCACGCCTGCATGGCCGAGCCATGCCACTCGATCAACTCCAGTCCATTCAATTCATTGTTCGCGCCTTCTCCATCGTTAGGTATTTATCCGCGTTAAATATTGAATATCTATTTTCTGAGTAGTCTCGTGTTCACAGCTTTGTGGATTGTGCGGTTATTGTTCAATACCACTACAGGTCTTTCTAGACTCTCTCACGTTGAGCGTTCAAAACGCCTAAATCTTTTCCCCTTGTTGTATCGTAGGACACGAGGTGACATTATACTGGCATTTCGTATCTTTAATTACGATTTATGTGGGAATATGTCTTATCTGTTTCCTCCCTCCAGCACTAATAATCTCTGTGGTCATAGCAAGAAGGTTCATAAACCGCGATCTAATAAACTTAAAGTGGGGTCCCGTTTTTCTCATCAAGTAGTCAGTCGTTGGAATGCCTTACCCGAGCAAGTGGTATCAGCCTCATCAGTGAATATTTTCAAGAAGAAACTGGATCTTCACTGGAAGGCAATCTGTCAGGATTAATACAGGTTCACCAACCTACTATCCTTATTACTGAAAACTGAATGCAGCTTTGTAGTTTCTCAATTATTATAACAGTCCAAACGTAGCTAACCAACTCGATGTGGACGGTCATTGGGACTTCTTACTGCACACGCTCTTACGTGCTACAAACCATTCAGTTCCTCAAACGGTCCCCAAAAGCTGCAATCCACCTACAATAACCAAGAACCGTACCCTTCGCCTGCTAAGCCGCAAAAGGCACTGTTGGGCGGAGTACAAACGAACTGACAACGACGGTGCGTACAGGCAATATAAACATATCAGGAACATGCGCACGAAGGCCATAAGAGAAGATAGGCTTCAGTACCAGACAAAGCTTATGGACAAATTTACCTCCAATCCTAAAGGCTTATTCCGTTATGCAGCCTCTCTTCGCCAAGCCAAAACAGGAGTTTCCCAACTGCTGGGTCTTAACGGCCCGACCGACAACGATGGCGACGCTGCTAACCTTCTGGCTGAACATTACTCCCAGACATTTCAACCGGCCGACATTGACTTTACTGATGACAGTTTCGTTTGCAATTCCACAGGACTTTCCAAAGTGAACCTAAGCGCTAACTTGGTGTTCCGGAAACTGAAGCACTTAAGATTTGACACTTCTGGCCCAGATTCTGCCATACTGAGGGAAGCAGCCTCAATCCTGGCAACGCCACTTAGCGTGATGTTCTCACACTCGCTAAGTCGAGGAACACTACCGGCAAATTGGAGGCTGGCTCACATCACACCAATTTTTAAAGGAGGTCGACGCAGCAAACCTTCAAGTGACCGACCGGTGGCTCTTCTCTCCATACCCTCAAAAATCATGGAGTCCTTGATATGTGATGGTATAAATGACTATTTAGTGTCCTTAAATTTCTTCTCACCCCAACAGCATGGTTTCAGTAAGGGTTACTCTTGTATCACCAACCTGCTGACTGCGGTGGATAGATGGACAAGCATCCTTGATCACAAGGGGTAGGTTGATATCATCTACTTAGATTTCTCAAAAGCTTTTGATAAGGTTAACCATATATGTCTTATCAATAAGCTCAGACGATTGGGGATCACACCGCATCTAATCGATTACCTTACTTCGTACCTGAAAAATCGATACTTTAAGGTTAGGGTTAATTTCACTTTATCTCAGGCTATGGAATGTCCTAGTGGGGTCCCCCAGGGCTCAGTACTAGGACCTCTTCTCTTCTTGATCTACATAAATGATCTTCCTCAACAGGTAACGTCATACTTATTACTTTTTGCCGACGACGTGAAACTTTGGAGAGAGATACGCAACCAAGACGATATACAGACACTTCAGGGGGATCTGACTCGACTTCAAAGTTGGGCAGACGATAACGGACCTACCTTTAACACTTCAAAGTGTAAAGTAGTCCATCTGCGACATGTCGCAAACTACAGTTATAACTTAGGAAACTCCTCTCTAGTAGTATCCAAAGTCTTGGTGCCCATGATTTAAGGTCTTACGCTAACTGTGACAAAAATGCCTTCCGAGCAAACCTTGCACTGGTAACATTGAAGCGCATTTTTGGCCAGTTTGACGGAAGAACATTCCATACAATCTTCAATAGTTTCATCCGGCCCCATTTAGAGTGCGGAAACATAGTAGTTCCCCCCTCACTCCAAAAGGACAAGGTCACTTTGGAGCGTATCCAACGGCGAGCCACGAAATCAGTTCGAGGACTCAAATCTAAGCCTTACGAAGAACGCCTCCTTTCACTAGACCTTTACCCACTAGAATATAGGCGTCTTAGAGGTGATTTATTAATGGCTTATCTTCTCTACCATCTCAAGATTTGGTGATCCCCTGCTACTAGACACGGAAGCCTGTTAAGCGAAAGCTTCTTCCATTCCGTCCACAACCATTTGAACCATTTAAACCATTTGAAACATAATACGTTTTTGTAATTGAACGACTTCTCTAACTTTTGGCGACACTGATTTTCCCTGAAAAGACCATTCTGTGACAAGGAATCTATTGAAATAGTCCGGTTGGCATTGTATATTGAATGGAGATGAGCATGACGAGCTTTCAAAATCGGCGTAACTGGAGATGAAGGTTGTATCGTGTTTTTACCACAAAACAGTCTGCTTTTATTTTCTGCCAGTCTATCCCCAAAACTAGTCATCCTTCAAATTTTGAAAATTGCTTTCATAATTCGATGTTGGTTTGTTTTTGTTCTCTGAATACTCATTTTATACGGTCACTATTATAAGACTTCTAATATTATATTCGTTGCTTTTTAAATTCACTTGTTCTACATTGAATTTTGACATTGAAGCACACATTGTAGTCTGACAGGGCTCTCTATTATCCCATTAAGGAATTTTCAGGACAACAACTTGCGTCTGGATGCAGATTTGTGAATGGTATAAATATACTAAATTAACTACTTTAAATGAAATAATAGCTAACAAGGAATTAATTTTAAAGCAAAAGTTGCCAGTGAGAATTTATAGGATCTCGGTGAATGGTTGTTTCAGAGCAATTCATTACTATTCAGCCTTTAGTAATAAATGTGATAGGTTGATCAATCTATGTTAATTCTTGGCGGCCAAACCAAAACATTGCAGAAGTCCATGAAGTCACTAACAAGTGGACTGAGTCATGTTTGTAGGTGTAGACTACCTGGTTGGGCACCATGAGATGATAGCAACCGACGGTTAGAGACCCTGAATGACATGGCTCAAGATCGTTTGCAATGGCGCAGGTGCATACACTCTTTGTGTTCTCTCAGATTCTAATCTTCTGAATTCTCCATTTCCCTTTTTTCCTCTTTCCAAATTTATTTCACTGAATTATACTCTTTAAATAACATCTCCAAACCCTAATCTTCCCGACTACTACTTATACTCGTACTACCTCTACCACTACGGGATTTGAATCGACAACTGCATCTCTGTGCTAATGTGGTGTGGCAACTCGAACTGATGTACGTACGTACGAAGTTCTATGTTGTTACTGACTGACGTTAATTCTTGTAAATTGTTCTTCAATAAAGGACCAGCTTCTTCTTGATAATGTTAAGTGGTGGCGTTGATAGCAGTTGTTTGTGTAGGGCGTCCCAGTCATTGACTACTCAATGAGAAATACGGGACCCCACACCGAGTTTATTAGTTCACAGTTTTGAACCTTGTTTCTCTGGCTTCGAAGGTTATCGGTGCTACGGGCAGCAAAAAGATACATATCAGCTTTAAAATGTTGGACGATTCATTAAGGTGAAATAAAAAGGTTAATTATACATATTGAAGGTCAAGCTTGTGCTGTGAGGTTGGGTTTTTCCCTGTTTTTTTGTTAAGAATTAACATCAGCTACTACTCAACAAAACTCGGACACTTGTTTATAAACTTTGAGAGGTTAAGTATGTAATTTATGGTCACGACAGATTGGGAAAATATTATCGTACTGCACAATCGCCTCAGACTCTGGATTTAATAATGAGACTATAATTTACGGACTACCTTTATTTATTTATTTAAACACATAAATATTGGTACAGGAGGGCACCAAATATATATGCGCCACACAAAACAATGAGAATTTGCAGAGAAGGAAGAAAAGGCAAGGAGCGTAAAAAAAACGATAACGAACAGATTAGTGTAAGGTAGCGTAATAATAATCGGGGAAACAGAAACGTACACTCAGAAGAGATCTTTCAGTTAAGGTAGAAGCAACCACTTATGAAGAAAGTAAAAGGTTACAGCAGAATAGGCACTGGCTTCTATTCTGAGCCATATCTGATAACGTCTCTACTCGAGAACGTTTAGATAGAACCGAATTTCCACCATAGACGAGCTGCTGTATAAGTCGAAAAATAAGGATAGACAGAGTAGGAATAAAAGAGAGTGAATAAATGACGTAGTAAATAATAACAATAGTAATAATAATAATGTGAATCGTTTGATTAATAGTTGAAGCAAGAAAAGTATTTTCCATAATTATCGACAATTCCTCATATTTGTGTGCGGGGTGTGATACTGCTCGGATGCCCAGACCGAAGCAGGTGGTTATCTTAGGGGGCCACACCCCGAGCCTTCGACCTGAAGGTCTGATTCACAAGGCAGTGGAACATCGTAAGGAGATGCAGTCCCATGGTAGCCGGTGATCAACGATTGGTTCATGCGCTCTTTGTTCCCGCAGGATACTGGAGCCCATGTGCACCATTGGTTTGGAATCCGGTTAAAGCGCCGGACATTCGCTTTTCGCCCTCTCATTTTCGTAAACAACACCCCCGCCACGAGAAGGCGGGGTGACGCTAAAGTGACTGAGAAAATTTACTCTAACTGGTGTCAGGAGAGGGTTATAAATTAGCACGCGGAACCAGGATTGGCATTGAGATCTGGAATTTAGGGTTTTTATCGCAAACTGACGTAAGCTATAATGCCAGAATGCTATTTAACCATATATAAATTGGTGAATTTCGCGACGAAATCCCAAACTTGCTGTCTTTAATCTTATTGGTTCATCCATAAATTATAGTCTCGTCCATTTAATCCTATCAAATACTTTAACACAATCTGTATCATGAGCAGGAATTTCTTGTTGTTTTGGCTTGAGCACACTGTCATACTTACCATTTAGTTAAATAGTAGGTTTTTAAAAATCAATTTCATAGATTGTAAAATTCAAACATTGGCATCTATTCACTTATTTCATAATTACACATAAGCCTTCTTTCATTGCGTTTCCAATTTCATACGACATCCTATGGAATGTTATCTTTCTTGTAATGTTCCTACTCTAGCCCAGTGGTATAATGCACTTTATTACGTTAAGAAAATTCTTAAGCAAAAATTACGAAAATCATATACGTTCCCTACAAAAGTTGACATTTTTAATGTGCCTGTTAACTTTGTTACTCAAGACAGACTTTCTCTGAATAATTAGAATTTACAAAAGCTCTAATTTTAAATTTTCACTGACTCTAGTGTCATATGATGTACGTTCCACTATGCGTTAAATTAAGTTTTATTGTGAGAGGACTTGAAAAAAAGTGTTTCAGTCACCATATGTCAGTCGGGTCTTTGTAATGGCTCTATCTGACCACAACGACAACGAAGTTGCTACCGTATGAAGGCAATCAATTATCAAAACCTTGATGCTCCGTCAGTGAAATAATCTAATTTTCGATCAGCTTGCTGAGTAATCACAAGGTAAAGTTCAGTTTTTACCATGCAGTAAATTAAAAGCCTTATCACTAGTATTAACTGAAACAGGCAACAAGCAAAATAAATTGAGGTGGTGGGGAGTATTTGTAACTCAGGTGGGTGAATTTGGTGGTTTTGTTCTCTGAGCTGGATGGCTTGGTCTTGGAGCTTTCATCGTTTCTCTGAACAACATCATCAGCACGAACTTCAGGTAGACGTTTGTGCTGATGATGTTATTCAGAAGAACGATGAAATCTCCACAACCAAACCATCCAGATCAGAGAACAAAACTCCACCAAGAAAATAAGCTGTAGAAGTTATATTTAGTCATGATATAAAAACTTAGTTTAAAAAATTTTTGTTGGGCTAATTATGTTCTTTATAATATCTACGCATTTTTTAGGATGTCAAGCCTTATCCAGTTGATCCATCTTATTCTGACCCACCAGTTGTTGAAACAGACTATTCAACATGGGGAATAGTCAAAGCTGTTCAGTACGGAATTACAAAACGAGTCATTGAGTTGGTGGAACCATCAGATCCACAACTAGCGGGTTATGATGTCAACCAACTGGATGATGAGGATGTCTCGCTGCTACACTGGGCCGCCATAAACAACCGTTTAGCGATTGCTCGTTATCTTCTATCGAAAGGTGCAATAATAGATAGACCAGGTGGTCATCTTGCTGCAACCCCACTTCACTGGGCTATTAGGCAATCACACTTAAGTATGGTACACTTCCTTATGCAAAGGGGCGCTGATCCAACGTTTATGGATAATACTGGTCTAGGATGTTTTCATGTTGCAATACAAATGGGAAATGTCCCAATTATCGTTTATTTGCTTTCTCATGGGGTCAATGTTGATACGTAAGTACATAAGCACGCATATTCATGATTACCAGATTATATTTTTTTGTAATATACAATTACCGCAGACTCGTACCAGTTATTTCAGCATAATATTATTAACCTCGTCGTTTACGTATTTGGTATGGGGACTTCAACTAACGTACATTTGTGTAAGGCTTTAGGCTGACGGGTTTGTTTCATTTCCGGCTTTTAAATACAAAGTTTTATGGGTGTCTAATGATTAATATATATTTGATTAATTTCTATGATAATTTTATTTGTGTCTCAATTGATACAAATAAACTCGCATGTCCGTATTTCAGCAATTTGACTATCAGTCTTTGATCCAGCATTATCTAGATTTTAAATGTATATAGTATCTTCATGACACTATACATATGGCTTAAAACCTAGTACTTGTATAGGCTTTGTGTATGGTTGCCAGAAGTTACATGGAAATTACTAGGGTTGTCGGTTTGCATAATAACAATCTTAATAAAGGTAACCTTTTGTGTGAGGGATGAAATTTGGTTATCAGGGTCACTATAACTGTGACAGTATCTTATCTGTAGTTTAATAATTGAAATTCATACCCTTAACTAGAACAACAAACCCACGATCTGGGTTTACTAGACATCATTGTAATGTTCATAACACTTTCTTTGGAATTCTATGGCTTCTCCATTATGTCATTGTAACAGTAGCCATAACTCTACTAAAACAATAAACTCAGGGTCTTCTAAAAGATTTCAGTTAGTGACTGAAAATATTGGGTACATCTGATCAAAAATGGTATAACTAACTACTTAGTGTTCAGTCACTTAAAATGTCCCGTTTCTTGAGGTTTTTATTTCAATCATCCGCAATTTTCTTGACTGTGGTAATAATTATGACTTTCCTTTTCAACATTTTAGTCGAGATGGTAATGGGCTCACTCCATTAATGATAGCTTGTATGCATGTACGATCAGTTGATATTTTTCGTTTGTTAATCTCATATGGTGCAAATTTGCGATTAACTGATTCACATGGCAACACTGCAGCACATTATTCTGTTCAGTTCGCTAATTTCCAAGCTGTCGTACAATTAGATAAGGGTGATATTGACTGGAATGCATTGAATGATGAAAACAAAACACCGTATGAGGTAACTTTCTTTTCATTAGTATATACAAATTGCTTTTAATCCTCCAATTTCAATAATCGGTGTTGGACTCGATGAAAAAGCGTGGAAGCTTGAAACAATAACTTTGTAGTCATGATTGTACAGTTCTGTTTAGAAAGAGCAGCATAAAACAAATGTTAGAATTTTATGCATTCAACATCTTTAATTAAACTTCGTTGTTAAGTAGCATAATGTACATCAAGCTCAGTTCATAAAGTTATCCTGTCTACACAAAATTAAATGCTTCAATTTGAATTCGAAGCAACAAACCTTTGACCTGTTAGTTGAATAGTTGGTCAACCTAGATTAGTAAAGCTTGACTACTTTATTCATAAAGCAGTTTCATTCGATTTAGTTGATAATTATACTTAGGTGTCTTAGAAATGACTGGGGATTTTTACATTGTACCGACTTCCACACTTAACGTTCCAATTCAAATGCTCTGAAGGCTAACAGAGAATCCAAAATGTTTCTGTTCAGTAGAGTCGATCACTTTCAAAAATTGGAGAGATTGAATGGATGTATGCGAATAAACTGATGTAGAACTTTCCACTTTGAAATATTTCGTAGATCATATTGTTAAAATTTAAAATAGGGTCAGTCTTTCTAATCAAACAGTGGTCATTTAATTAGACTACTGAGTTACAATAACCAACTTTTGTTCAGACAGTAGTTTTGTTATTGTTAAAGTTTGAAATTCTTAGCTGATTTCATCTTAATAGACTAAATGGTTCATTGTAAAAGTTCCCATACTTTTCAGTGTTACGCTTGCTATGACTTAAACGAATCAATATCCAGAGTTGCTTAAGTAATAACATAGATTATCTTAAGTTTTGGTGTGACGTATTGAGTTCTCTAGTACATGTCACTTTTACTAATCAGTCTCACAATTAACTCACAGAAAACTGCTTTATGAGTACGAATAAGCATATAAAATGAGAAAAATAGGTGTATGTAGCTTGCTAAGTTTATGCGATTCATGTACTCAGATTTTCGACCGTTCATTGTGTGCTAACGCTGGCAATACAATCCAACTTCTGAGGCAGAGTCTAAAGCTTCGACCAAGTGACAGATTAAAATCGAATGTGTTAAGTACTAATCCACCGCTTAACACATTTTGTTAATAAGGGATAATACAGTAAGCAGAAATCTGTCCGAGGATTCCTACCAGTATCTGCAATGATCCATTTAATCTAAACACCTCATTAGTGTTTAATACTAAATGAATGTTATAATTTTCAAGTTATTTTATGGGGAAACTCAACATTGTGTTAATTGTCCTAGTGTTATGAAATTTGTGTAACTTATGTTCATTTCTATTTGCAAATATGGTGAACTTGTTACTGTCTTATACTATCAACTTTCATACCTCTGTCTATAAATATTTTCAAGGTTCGTGTAGTTCCATGGTTAACAGATCGTGTCAAACAAATGGCAAATGTACAAAGTATAATGAATTCGTCGCACCGTTTCTCGCGTTTAGGCTTATCAATGCTACATTATTCACCTGTATGGCGTCAACGAATAACAATTATGCTTCCACCATTAATTCTTATTACTTGCGGTCTACTTATAAATTGGGATATACCATCTACATTATATCATTTAAATTTTGCCGATCAATCGTCAAAGATTTCATCATGGATAATATATTCCACCAAATTTCTTTTATTACTGTTATTATCATTTACAGCACGTTTTATTATTGATCGATTCTCAGATCATAAGTCACAGGTGAGTTATGAAGATGAGATCAGGGGATGAGGATAACGTGAACATTTTGATTCATTATTACACCTTTCAATAGTCCTGTATATTTATGGGTGTTTTTATGTTATCCCTATAAAATATTTCCACATGGATTGGTGGTGGTGCTGGGTCTGATGTTTGTGCTGGTTCGGGCTCGTTAACAAAGCTTATCTACAGTACTAAGAGAATTACGTCTCCCCCGCCACATGAGATTTCTACCTACATTATTCAGCTTCAAGCTGTAATTTAGAGTGAGACAGTCAGACACTAATGGTTAACTTTAGTACATAGGTTTGTGCACGTATTAATTTGTGTTATTATTACACCTGTTATATGAAAGGTTATTCGTGAATACACTGTAGCTCACATCAGTGTTGAGTCAGTCAGTCAGTCAGCTACAACGTAGGACCAGGCACATATATGTATCGGTCTAAGTTGCCATACCTCATTAGCACAGCAAAATGAACACCGGGTTCATAGAAGTAGTTAATTCAATGACGGTAATATATAAAAGAAAGATTGCATATAAGGATATAGTACAGGAGGAAAGAATTAGTACGCAGAAAGATATGAAGCGGTTTTAATCTCATAGTTTAAAGGAAGACATAGTGTACACACCGACGCCATTGTGATCGATTCTGAGCCATGTCACCAAGAGTTTCCAACCATTGATTACGATGAGTATATATATATATATATATATATATATATATATATATATATATATATATATATATATATATATTGCCGAACGAGTCGTTGAATCCAGTCTCTGAGACTTTACAAATACATTCTTCCACCTTGGCGATTAAGTCATAATCTGAAAATATTTTTTTGGTGCAAACTTAATACACGCAATGCTTAGAAAATGAAGTTTATGTGATGTGATACTAGATTAGGTCCCGTGAAATCTTTTCCTATATCCAATGTATTAAACTTTATAAGGTGTTTTGTTTTGATTACTGAACTTACTTCTTGATAAACACACCATAAGAGTTAAATTTTGAATTAGCAACAGAGGTAGCTAGAGATGAACGAAAAGATTTTGACAGTCTAATCTCCAAAGCTATCCATCACCATCATTGGTACCACCCGATCATGAAAAAACGGTAATATGCTGGCTAAGGCACCTGTTTTTCATTCATCGTTATTTTCAAGTTCTAATCGCCCCTACTTTGTTTTAAGAAACAATCGTATAATCAACCATCACACCGAATATGTTTGACTTGAGCCGAGTGTATGAACGTACACTTGGCAGATCGGTTACATTATGATTTATGTCCTAGGTACTTTATTTTATTCATTTATTTATTTTAACACATAGATATTGGTATAAGGAGGCACCAAATACATATGCACCACACAGATCTCATTTGATATGTGCGAGGGCTGTGATACTCCTCGGGTGCCCAAACTGAAGCAGTTGGTTTTCCTAGGAAACCACACCCGGAGCCTTCGACCTGAAGGTCTGATCCACAAGGCAGTGGAGCGTCGTGGGGAGATGCAGTCCCATGGTAGCCGGTGACCAGTAATTGGTTCATACGCCATTTGTTCCTTCAGGATCTTGGAGACCATGTGGAACATTGGTTTGAAATCTGGGTTTTCCAACTCCTCTAGGTGAACTCTCCGTGTCCACCGACCCGGTTAAAGCGCTGGACATTCGCTTTACGTCATCTCAATTTCGTAAACAACAGTAATGCCGCGAGAAGGTAGTGAGTAGGACTTCCCTGTCAGAGGCTATATACGCGTGGCAATGTGAGAGCATTTGGAGAGGGAGAGTTGACTCTCCCCACTCTCGGCCGTACAAAGGCATTTGGGGGCTTGACTTTCATTCAATAGTTTATAGGTTCGCCTATCGCTTTATCTACGCTGCTATGACCAACTGGATCGTATCACTAGCTCTAGCACACAAAACAATGTCACACAAGGTTGAGTTTACGAGTTTTGACTACGTAAATGATTCAAAATTCATTTTGTCAATGTTTTCTTGAATGTCTAAAATTAATTCTTTGTTACATATGTATTAACTGTTTCTGTATAATAAGGCATTTGTATATATATATTTCATAGTATGTGTTTATTTTCATTTCCTTTTTATTGAATAAGGCTGTAATGTTGTTCAGTTTAGCAACAAGTACAAAATTGTTATTAACTACAACATATTTATTTCACATCACATTACGTACACCGAATCATTGGGTGTTGCATTTCTGGTTTCTATTCTTTATTACTATGCTATGGACAACATTTATTCTATGCTGTACAAAAAATCCTGGCTACGTAGATGAAATTATTAAAAAAGAATGTCAACAAGATACTATTGCTCAATTACTTGATGAAGTGTTGAATAATACAAATGATTTAACATTAGCAAATAACAATCAAGAAGAATCTTCGTCATCAACATTATCAATCAATCCATTACAACGTTTCTGTACAACTTGTTTTATACGTAAACCGTTAAGATCAAAGCATTGTTCAACATGTGATCGATGTGTAGCACGATTCGACCATCATTGTCCATGGATATATAATTGTGTTGGAATGAAGAATCATTTTTATTTTATTATATATTTATTATCGACCAGTGTTTCATGCAACCTATTTATGTTGGGTACTATTGTTTATTGGCAAAATGAATTCAGTTGTCTACCGAATACACCACTAACATCTGGGAAAACTGGTATGTTTATTCATAAAATTTTTATGTGTACATATGCCTAACATCGATTCATGATGTCCTCCGAAATAGGAAAGCTAGGGCCTGTCGAACCATTCATGACATTAATCTGTGAAGTCATTTACTAATAGTCTGAGCCTTGTGGATAGGTACAAACTACCTGATTGAAGTTCATGCGATCATCATGTTCAGTTATTAGAGGTGTACCAAAGAAGTACATAAACTCTGTACAGGCTCTCTACTCAAACAACACTGGACATATCAGTGCTTACGGCGAACTGTAATCGGAATTGATAAGTGGTGTTCTTCAACTGTCGGCTTTTTTCATTTTTATGTAAATTTGTTTTATACATTCTTTCATTGGTAATTGTCTTACCGTCTGACTTTCCACAGGTTGATCTTTTATCAGGAGATTCACTTACTGAATTAGAATATGCAGAGGACATAGTTTTGTTTGATAGAGATGTTGGTAAAAGTACACAGTCTTTTGAAAAACTTTAGCAACAATGTGAACATGTTTGGGATGAGTTTCACTCCCTGCGAATGCAAAATGTTGCTTCAGCACTGATATGCATCACTACCAGGATTAATGATAGAAATTACAGTAGTCGTGCGTATCGATCACCCCTAGCATTCGATCATAGGTGTCTTCGAAGCGTTTCTCGTATATTTTGGGATCATCAAGTTAGCAGTTCTGAAGTTAACTGCACAGTAATAGGTAAGCATAACAAATCGCTAGACGAGTTAGTGGTTCAGAATCGTTCCCAATGGTGCAGGTGCATTTTCTCTCTTTATCTTCTCTTAGATCTTGAATTTCATATTTATTTTATAATTCCTATTTCTCAAGTTTATTCTCTCTTCTCTAATCATATTTTTGATGTTCAATCTTCTTTACCATCACTGATACTACTACTTATACTATTTTGGCTTGTTTTTAAACCGCATATTCATTGGTGGTTGAATTTCAAGCGTTTAGTTAGTCTACTTCAATACTAGAGCTCAGTTTATAAATGGGAGATCCAACACTATTTCTGTTGTTTGTTTAGAAATTCCCTCCATTATTAATAATGTTGCGGTATGTTGGATCTTTTGTGTGTGTGTGTATGGTTGTCGCTGAATATAGTGATTTTACCTTAAATAAAAACGGTTAACCATAAGTATTTTATATTTAATCTATGTAATTATTAATACTTTACTATAACTGAGATCATCATATGGCTATGATTCTTATTACGTTTAGTAATACAAAAAGTATAAAAGACATTGGGTGAAATACTGAGATTCATTTTGACTCAAATAAAAACTGACAAGGATATCACACTACAACACAATACAACAGAATGTAATGTATGCAAAATAAGGTTAAATTTACGAAATTAATCACTTTATATTAGTGTGTTAGTCTATAATAAACAGAATGCAATCCAACTAATGATGACCAACTTAAAGCATTACGCAATATGTTCAATGAAAACTTTCTTAAAGATTGTAGTATTAAGTTGCATTCGATTTAAAGTTTCTAAAGTTATCTTACTTTTGACAGTTTTTACATGTATGTCTAAATGGTGATATGCAATTACGTGGTCCGTTGTTTGGCCACCTCAAATATAGTTTCTAAACATAATGAGTACTAACCCTCTGTGGTTTTTTTCAATGTTTGTGCTATGGCGCGTACATCTCCGAATATATTACAAAAAATCTGAAACTAAACTTGCAGAAGGTTTTCCACAATGCAGTTCCTCGTTATTTGCTCGAATGTGGATTTGATGTTGTTGTTTCGAAGTCTTTTAAAATAATCGGTAAACAGAGAAATTCAAATTTATTGTGTTTTGCTATAACTTGCAGTAAAAAGATGTAGTGTGGCGTATATGTATCTGGTGGCCCAATATTTGTGTTCAAATAAATAAATAATATATATATATATATATATATAAGTTATCAATCTTCTTCTTCCCTGATGACCTCGTTTTCATGAGACTATTACGTAAGATTTCTGATATCTTGTTTCTTACTTCTGAGCTTTATTTAACTATTCCATATTTCTAAATATTACTTCTTAATGTCACATAATATGTTTTTGACTCCGATAATCCTGTTTCCATACTGTTCTAGAATATTCTCATGTTTAACCTATAAATAAGCGAACGTCTAAATAATGTTAGTTCTATCATAATATTGTGCGTTAGTATTATTTTATCTCCACGTAATTAACTCCATATATTCCAGAAGTTTCCAATGTGAAGTATGCGCACTTGTTTCGTCTTCGTCTTTAATATTGGGATTATAGATTGTAAGCAGCTGAGGAGAATCCACGAAATGAATTCATGTTATTCTGCTAAGATATTTGTTCTTTCTTTATTCAAGTATATTAGATAATATTGAAATTCAAGACTTTGGAGATGTATGAATTAAGCCATGTCAACTAGTGTTTCCAACCATTGATCACAATTAACTTTCATATCCAAACTAATTGGTCTGTGATTCACCTCATGACTTAGTAGTCCTTCAGTCAATGATCTCATTGATTGATGCCTTGTCATAGTTTTCCTCCTATCTATAACTTCCCCATTGTTTATAAACCTCTACCACTACGGGATTTGAATTGTCAACTACATGTCTGTGCTAATGTGGTATGACAACTCGAGCTGATGTACGCACGTACGAAGTTCTACGTTGTTACTAACTGACTGACTGGTATATATGTGTTTATTGAACTTCATGATTTTTGTTATCAAGAGTAGTTGATTAATAATACTATACTTTGTCGAATAGATGTATTTGGATAGTCTATTATAATATCTATATAATATTTTACAAATATACTTTCTTTTATTTATTTTATATATAAATGATAGATCTATTTACAATCATTTGGTCATATCTATTATGCAATCCATGGATTACATTCTGTTTTATAAATGCTGCTTTTTATTCATTTTGGACAACATTATTATTTGGTTCACAATTTTATCAAATGGTATGGTTAAATGCAACAACAAATGAACGTATCAATATGGATAGATATGTTGAATTTAATACCAATAATAACAATCATATTAATAATAATAATAATAATAATAACAATCATATTAATAATAATAATAATAATAATAATATGTCTTTATCTAATGAAAAGTTTCATAATTCTACAAATTACAATCGTCCATATGATCATGGTATATGGCGTAATCTACTTGATTTAATTGGTTTACCTGGTTTTATTATCAATTCAAATAAATCTGTTGATTGGCGGCAAATCTATCAAATTGAACAATTAAATAATCAATATCCAATATATACTACTGCTACTACTACTACTACTAATAATAATAATGATGTAGATAAGAAATTATTAGATTGGTCAATATAGTTTTCATTAAAATTTACTATAACTATTGTATATAGTATACAAAAAAAGGGGTTTTATTTTTTCTGCTTCTTTTTTTTTATCATTTACTGCTCAATTACAATTTGTTTACATTTGAACATAATGCAGTGAATTAGTAATTATTGTCAACATCATTAATCAATATTGAATGTTACCGTGAATTATTTAATGACTTATGCCTGTTACTTTCAATGGAGTATAGGTCACTACCGATTAGCATTCTCTAATCCATTTTGTTCTAGGATTTCTTTTCTAATTCTATTCAATTATTGTTCATTCTTCTCATGTTTGTTTCTATTTCTTGGCGTAATATGTTCTCTGGTCTTCCTCTTCTCTTTTATTTAGCCTTGAGGAATCCAAGTGATGAAGGATTACCTTGTGATGTAGTTCGGTGCTAATGTTAATGATACCGTTGAATTTTGTTGAAAAAAACAAACAATTTTTTTCTCTTTCAGAATATATATGGTACATGTAATTTGCTTTTAGTTTACAGTTTATTGGTTTTAACTTTGTTTTTTGCTATTGTTGTTGTTGTTGCTGCTGCTGCTGCTGCGTGAATTCTCATGAATTGGTTGTATTTATTCATTAAATAGATCAGTATCAGAATTATTCATTGCTGTAAAAGTGATAGTTTTTTCTCAGCATAATTATACATTGAATCATTTTATTGCATTCAATATAATCTTAGTTTATTGTTGTTGGACTTATGATGGTAATACGGTGGTGTGTGTGCTAATTATATCGACATGAGTAGGATATAACGATAGTCAGGACTTAGAAGATCGAGAAAGACAGAACGTGAACAGAAAGCAATTGGTATAAAAATGCAGGAATAATCAAATCTGATAAGACAGACTGATATTTACAAAAGGGAACATTCAAGTTTGAGACAATTGATTGATATATTGCATATGAAGTATTTATTGTATGATTCTTAGATATGACTAAGGATGTTCTAGTAATTTTGTGTTCAAATACATTCGATTGTCCTTCACTTGTGTTCACTTTCACTACACTACGATTGAATTATATCTTCTCTTCACATTTTTTCACTATTCTTTAACTGCTATATTGAGCATTTTGTGTGTGTATATATCAACCTATTTACCTGTGTGTTCTCCCAAATTTTGATCTCCTTATTCCTCCTTGTCTCTTTTTTTTCTCCTCTCAAATTTATTTCACTGTATTATACTCTTTAAATAACATCTCCAAACACTAATCTTCCCGATTACTGCTTATACTCTTATTACCTCTACCACTACGGGATTTGAATCGACCACTGCATCTCTATGCTAATGTGGTGTGGCAACTCGAACTGATGTACGTACGTACAAAGTTCTACGTTGTTACTGACTGACTGACTGACTTACCTATCTATCTATCTACCTATTCATCGTCTAATTGTACTTCCAGTTTTGTTGATCTTATACTTGATCAATTAATCAAGTTATATTTTTATTTATTTAGATAGATTCTCTTTTTTTCCCCTGTTTATTCAAAGCATTTTTGTTTGTTTGTTTTGTTTTCCGATAGTTATGTATCATTTCATATGTGTCTCAAACCGATTGTAATACTTTATTCTGTTTCATTAGTTTTGTTTTGACCCTCTGGTTACCAGGTATACATATACCTGTGTTACTGTTTATCATTTCTGTATGAAGAACTAACTACAATAATAAATTATATTTTCGGTTGATTGTAGTTTTTTTATTATTGAGATAAAAATAAATAAACCGTTTCATGTTGTGATTCATTTCTTAAATGTAAGTATGCATAGAGAGAGAGAGAGATCTCATGTATGTAATATACTTTATGTTTGAATGTTAGTTTTTTTTATTTTTCTTTCTTAGAATAAGATTTACTTTGAGATGGTGGAGAAGATTTGTAGCTCAGGTGGATGATTTTGGTGGAGTTTTGTTCTCTGAACTGGATGGTTTGGTCGGGGAGTTTTCATCGTTCTTCTGAACGACATCATCAGCACAAACTTCAGATAGAAATGAAGTGTTCGAATTTTTCCATATGTGTTTCACAGCTTGTTCTGTGCACCTCGATGTTGATTGGTTCTTATTGACCTTAATTTTATCATTGTTTACTTCTTTTTTTGGTTGTGTCTCCCATTGGTTTGATTTTTGTTCCTATATTTATGCATGATTTTCCTGATTGGTTGATAAATTGGATTGATTTCAATATATTTGTTGATTGCTGATTGACCTGAGTGCCAGGCTTCTAAAAATTCTCTGGTGTTTTTAGAGTTTCCTCTGTCTAAGATTTCTACATTTTCCCAATCGAATGAGTGTCCGTAGTTATCCACGTGTATTGACATAAGTGAAGAGATATCATGGCGTTTGACTGCTAATTGATGTCCATGTAGGCGTAGGTGGAGGGAGCGTCCGCTTTGTCCGATGTAGTGTTTGTCGCAGTTGGTACAATTTATTTTGTAGATGATGTTTGATTTGTTTTCCTTTGTTATTTCATCTTTTGGTTTGCATAGGATTGATTGTTGTGATTTTATTGGTTTGTGTGCCACACCTATCCCGAAGGTTTTCAGCAAACCAAACCATCCAGCTCAGAGAACAAAACTCCATTAAGATTGACTTTATTTAGAAATATTACTCACTCATTTTGACCAATTTTTTGTTTAAATATTATTAAACTTCATCAACTCAGGCAAGTACAGAATTAGAATGAAATGCGCGTCCTGGATTCCATTGCTAACCATTATCTATATATTTGCTTATAATGCTTGTAAATTAAGGCAATATGCAAAAGATGCACATATGCTCATAAAAGACTAGTCGGTGAGACTATAATTAATGGATGACCTTTGAGTGACGCTGAAGTGACCCTGAGAGTGAACAACTACTAATTAAGACGAAATGAAGGTTATAAAGCAGTGAGAATTCTCATTTACAATTGATGGTTAGGATTAAAAATTAGATTTAGGGTTTATATCACGAACTGACATCAGCTATAATGCCAAAACACTATTTAGCCAAATGTATGGATGAATTCCGCGCCCGAATTGGTGACTCGTTATCTTACATCTGATTGGTTCGTCCATAAATTATAGTCTCGCCATTTTTAGTTGTAATAATTAAGTATTGAATAAATCTATGGAAATCTTTAATCATAGCTTTGTAAGTGTGTAATATCATTCAGTTTACAAAGATTAAGCTATAATTCTTTCTTATTGACTATTGATTTTCCCAGTATCTTAGAATTGTTATGTGATAAATACTAAAGAATGATATTTACCAATATTTTCGGAGATTGTGGAATCCATTGTCGTCTGACAGAAATAGCGAATTGGCTATTAGTTGTAATTTGTCCAGAGCTTATAGTTTTCAGTAGTTTTGTCAAGCTTCGTTAATCATAATTGTATGTCCACTTTTTAAACTACTGTGTTATATACGGGACTCTAAAATGATCATTCTTTTTATTTAACTTCTCATTGATCGATTTTATGTGGAGAATCAAGCTACAAAGCTCTTTTAAATAAACATACTTACGCCTATTACCCCTCATGGAGGAGAATAGGCCACTCACCGGCATTCTCCATCCAACTCTGGCCTGGGCATTTCTTTCCAGTTGCTATTCATCTATTTGATGTCTCCTTCCGATTCCTGACACAGTGTGTTCTTTGGCCTTCCTATTTTTCGTTTCCTTTCAGGATTCCAAGTTAGTGCTTGCTTCGTAATGCAGTTTGACGATTTCCTCAATGTATGTTCTATCCACTTCCAACGTCTTTTCCTAATTTCCTCCTCAGCTTTAACCTGGTTTGTTCTCTCCCATATTAGGCTGTTGTTGATGGTATCCAGCCAACGGATATTGAGTATCTTGCGTAGACAACTTTTAATAAATACTTGTACATTTTTAATGATGGTCGTGGTGGTTCTCCAAGTGTCCGCTGTATACAGTAGGACCTTTTTGACGTTCTTGCTGAAGATTCTCACTTTCATGTTGGGTTGCAGACCATTGTTTTGAGTTCCATATGTTCTTCAGTTGTATGAATGCTGTCGTTACTTTGTCAATCCTCGCCTTTACGTCTGCATCTGATCCTCCTTGTTCATCGATGTTGCTTCCCGTGTATGTGAAGGACTATACATCTTCCAGAGTTTCGCCATCAAGTGTGATTGGATTGCTGTTCTCCGTGTTTTATGTAAGGACCTTAGTTTTCCACTTGTGTATGTCGAGCCCTACTTATGCAGAGGTTGCTGCTACACTAGTTGTTTTCATCTGTAATTGTTGGTGTGTATGCGATGGAAGAGCTAGGTTATCTGTGAAGTTCAAGTAATCTAGCCACATGCAAACTGTCCATTGTATTTCGTGCTTCCTTTGACATATGGAGCTCTTCGTAATACATTCAATCACCAGAAGAAAGGGAAAGGGGGAGGGTAAGCACTTGATCCTTACGGAACCCAGCGTGTTGATCTCGAAGTTGGACGTCTACTGCATCTTTCATCCGGTTCAGCAAAACTCTGTTAAAGACTTTCCCTGGTTTTCACATTTGCCCAGATGTTTCTTTGGAATCTTGATAAGGTGTCCTTCTTTCCAGTTCATCGGCACTTGTTCCTCCACCCAAATGTTATTGAATAGAAGGTGAAGTATGTTTGTAGTTACTTCGATGTCTGACTTCATTGCTTCAGTTGGTATATTGTCGGGTCCTGTTGCTTTCCCGCTCTTGATTTGTCTGATCGCTATTCTGATTTCTTCGGTCATTGGTGGAGTGACATCGATAGGAAGGTCTGTGTGTACTGCTTCGGTGTCCGGTGGATTCATTAGAGCTGGTCTATTCAACGGTTCCACGAGGTATTCTACCCATCTGCTCCTCTGTTCTTGAATCTCAGTGATTGGCTTGCATCGTTTTCCTTAACCAGTCTCTCTGGTTCACTATATTTCCATTCCAGTTTTTTCGTCATGTCATATAGTTCTTTTATATTTCCTCTTGGAGGTTTTTCCGCTGTCTTCGCTAGCTCTTCCAC